CGACTTTGAATTTTGCTATTTTTTCCCATTTTTTTCCTCCCTAAAAATGCCTTATAAATGCCTTGTAGACCCTTTGGGACCATCCGACCCAAATACACCATAGTCTACTTTTTTTTATGGTCCACAATCCCTCAGACCATGGTCCCAACCTTCTAAAATATCCTAGAGAATCTCCAAGATAATCCTAAAAACCATAGGAAGCCATCTTCAAATCAAAGTCATCCTAAATACTAGAAAATAGGAAAAACTGACTTCGATAGAATTTTTTGAGATAATTATTATCAAGAAAATATGAATTTGGATCAAAATAAAAAAGATATGCGAAATCCCAAAAATTAGGCGACTTTATCTTAAACGCCACATTTGCGGCATTGAGGATAACCTTAGATCTAGAGACCTGATTCCCAAAGAAAAACCTAGAATTAAGAAGCTTAACCTCAGATATGAAAACTGCACTTTTCTAAACCAAATTCTAGAGAGATCTAACCTAGATCCTCTTAACCTTAGCCTAGAGCATTAGCCTTCTAGCCTTAGATCCTAGAAGCGATGACCTTATATCTAAGCAACGAAACTCTAGATTCAATTTTAACCTTTCTCAATGATCCATAGCTAATATTTTCAGAGTAAAAAGCAAGCTAATTTCAAAGAGAAAAAAATGAAGGAAAAAAAAAGAAGCATAAATAACCCGCGGTCCTAATACAGGCGGCACCACCAACTTCGAGCATCCCGGGCCACCCGGCCTGGGCAAATAAACTTTTCTTTCCTTTTCTTCTTAAATTTGGTTATTTTGATTATTTTTTGATAGATTTAATTTTACAGTAGATTTCCTTTATTTTGGCAAAAAGATCATGCTGGCACTGCCAGTGATTTGAAGAGAAATTGGCCTTTCGAAATTAATTAATCTTTAAATCATAATTCGACACTTCTCTATAAAAAATTTAATCAATTAGTTTTCATAGCGATAGATAAGGGGATCTCAGATTTGAGATCTTCTCTGTTTTGCACGGTAAACACTTAATAACGGGTCCGAATTTCTACGTGTGAGTCTGTGGACTCATAGAAACCGTGTCCTTATCTAAATTTATTGTCAAATCAAATAAATTATGGTGGACTAAAAAATAAGAAGGAATTAGGCTTGGGCTTGAGTGGTTAGTAGTTGGGGTTAGCAATGTAGTATCTCAAGTTTGACTAAACATGAATCCCCACTGAAATACAAATTCTAGTAAAATCTTTTTTTCAGAAATAAAGTTTTCACATTTAAATATCATAAATAAAAAAAAATTAAATTTTGAATTTTGGGAAATTATAAAAAATATACATTAATTTTTGGATTATTGAAAATAAATCCCAAACTTTGTAAAACCTAATCCATACCCTTTTTTCAGTGAGTAGACAAAAATAGCCTTGATAGTAGTTTTAGAACCGTGAAGGCATCACGGTCTATTAAAAACCATGATGGTCATGTCGGGTTGGAAATCAAATGTAATTTTGAAGCATCACAGCACTTAAAGAACAATGATGATTTATTGGATTATCATGGTTATAATTTTGCAGTTACGCCTTTGTCACGGGGCATAAGAGCCCTTAATGACAATCACGGCTTTTTAAGTGTCGTGATGCTTCAAAATATTAAACCGCCCATGACCATAACGATAGTGAGCCTACCGTGGTGCCTACACGGTCCTAAGACTACCTATGAAGGCTATTTTGGTAAAAAAAATATAAAAAATGAAAAAAAAAAGGGTATAGATAGGATTTGGAAAGTTAGGGATTTATTTTCAATAATAAAAAATTAAGGTATAATTTTGATAATTTTTTTTGAATTTTAAATATTTAAATCTGACTATCCAAAAAATAGAAAGTTTTTATTCAATCTTAGCACGACATTATTTTCTATGATGATATGGGGTGCGTGTGAAATTGATTTTTTCTAGGTTGGTGGCTAGGTTGAGAAGAATAAATTCCAAAATTTAGAGTTTTAAAATTACTCCTCATAGCATTTTACTTAGGAAAAAGTTTATATATGGTTGCAACCTTAAAATGTAGAAATAAAGATGTATCTCAAAAATCTAACGAAAATAGTTGTTTTAATGTTGAAAAAAGCTTTAATTCATCATCTCGACATCGATATGTATGAGTGTGAAAAGAAAAAGATTTTGAGTCCTAAAAATAGTGTATCTTGCAACACATTATCTTGCAACACATTATTTAAACCATCCATTTTCAAGATTTTTATATGTTTTACAACCAATAATTCTTTTTTAAAACAAAAAACAAATCTTTGGTGCCGTGCCTTTGCACCAAATTTTCAAAGTTTGAAATAAGTGTTTTTAAGCTTAGCAGTCCATATTGGGAATCCCCGATTCATACTGGGAAATGTCATGAATCGATTTGGGAAGAAATCGGTACAACTCGTTCCCCTAAAACCCCCAATTTCATTTCTTTCCTTATTTTTAGCTTATCCACTATTTTTTTACATCATCTAAATCCCTAAGACCTTTCTTCTACTTCTTCTTTTATTTTTTTTTTAAAATAAAAAAAATTTATTTCTACATCCTTTAAGACCCCCAAAACCCCTTTTTTAATTTTTTTTTTTGAATCATTGATACTGTTCAATCGGAATCGCCAATATGATAAGAACACGTCGTGGACAATCCATCCCACCAATGAGTGATTATTTTTCAAACTGTGAAAATCTGGCACAATTTTCATTTATATATTCAACTTCCAAATCTATTTAATTTTTTTTCTTTTTCTTTTCTCTTTTTTGCAGTTATCCAAACTTATCTTCAAACAAGAACTGTGGTACACTTGAACTTATCCTCAAAATAATGTCCTAAAATCTATCCAAATTTTGCACGGGTTTTTTCGGCTATTTCTAAAAAATAAGATGGATTATTATTTTTAGTTTTTAAAATTTTTTTATTATTCATGATCTCCATCTATGTTAGAGATTACATATCCTTAAAAATTAAGTCCAAAAATCCATTTCAAAAACAAATTTATTAATAGGACCGCATTTCTACATATGTGGGCTTGGCCGCATAGAAACCAGGTCATTTTCTAAGGAAAATTGTCTCATGCGGGCTGGACCACATGACCACATATGCGGTCCAAAAAGTGCAAAGCATCCATCTTAAAGATGGATGCAAGTAGGTGTTGCATCTAAAAACTTTAGAAACTAATGGTACGAATGTTTTCTTGTTAGAATTATTATTTTTAATTATTAAAAATTACTTATTTTCCATGTTAGAGATTGCATGTCTTTAAAAATTAAATCCAAAAATCCATCGCAAAAATAGATTTATTAATAGGACCGCATTTCTACACATGTGGCCAACCCGCATATTGTAGAAATGCGGGCTTGGCAATAGTTATATTTTTTAAATATAATTTGATCATAATTTTTAGTGAATATATAATTTTTAATGTAGAGATCTTGAATATGAATTTTTTCTTTGAAATCTAAAAATATTAATTATAGGTGTAGTTTCTATAAAGTTGCAACCTTAAACAATTCAATTAAGGCGCACCTCCAAATTTTATCATAAGATGTAATTTTGTTGAAAAAAATTCAAAAGATTATCTTAAAATCTATTTTCATATCTAATTAAAAAATTTTAAACTCCAAAAATAGTTAAAATCAAGGAGATCTATAAACATATGAAAATGTTGAAAATAGACGGCCTAAAAAATGTGTTGCAAGATGCACTATTTTTGAGGTTCAAAAACTTTTTTTTTTTTGTTTTCATATATTTTGATGTCGAGATGATTACATAGGTTTTTCAACATTAAAACAATATTTTCGATAGATTTTAGAGATGCATCTGTAATTCTACATTTTAAAGTTGCAATCTTACATAAAATTTTCTTATTAATTATATTAAAAATATATTTGAACCAGCGTTTTAAAAAACGTCGAGTCGAATCGGACTCGCCCGGTTCGACTCGAAATTCGTGAAAAGGGACCGGATCTGTTGAAAAATCGGAAATCGTTCGGTTCTAGAGAGAACCGGACGATTTCGCACAGTGACTCGTCGATTCACTGTACGGAATCGGCGAGTCCGAACAGTGAATCGGCGAGTCCGTACGGATTTTTTTTTTTTTTTTTTGTAATCCATGATAGAATTGTTTTTGTTTTTTTGTAATCCATGATCGAATTTTTTGGTTTTTTGTAACCCATAATATAATTTTTTGTAATCCATGATCGAAATATTTGTTTTCTTTTCTTGTAATCCATGATTCGCTTTTTTTGTTTTGTAACCCATGATTAGAATTTTTTGTAATCCATGATCGAATGTTTTGTAA